ACGTTTTCGACTGCAAGATCACCGGACACAATGGCCCACCTGTGCACCTGGAGTTGAAAGAAGATGCCAAGCCACATTTTCTCAAGGCACGACCGGTGCCGTTCGCGATGCGGACAGCAGTGGAGGCCGAAATTCAGATGCTCCAAAATCAGGGCATCCTCGAACCAACTCAACACTCGGAGTGGGCCACGCCAGTCGTAGTCGCACGGAAGAAAGATGGCACTATCAGGTTGTGTGGAGATTACCGTAGCAAGGTAAATAAAGAAGCAAGGACAGCGGTGTACCCAATGCCTACGATTTCCGAGATACTAGCGAATCTCCAGGGCGGATCAGTGTTTTCAACTCTGGATCTCACTCGGGCCTATCAACAACTGAGCCTGACTGCTGAGACTGCAAACGTGTTGACCATCAACACCACAAAGGGACTTTTTAGGGTCAAGAGGATGCCTTTCGGTATTTCAGCAGCTCCGGCGATTTTTCAACGATTTATGGAGACAGTGCTAGCAGGAATCCCTGGAATCGGAATATACTTAGGCGACGTAATTATCAGCGGATCAACACCATCGCAACATCTGGAAAGGCTCAGTACGGTACTATCACGACTTTCCAAGCAGGCCTTCGTCTCAAAAGGGAAAAGTGTCGTTTCGCAGTTGATCGAGTGCGGTACCTCGGACACATCATTGATGCGGCAGGCATTCATGCTACCGACGATAAGCTCAAAGCCATCAAGGAGATGCCTGAGCCAACTAATCGCACAACTTTGCAGTCGTTTCTCGGCCTGTTGGCATTCCATGACCGATTTATAGCAAATCGGGCAACCATTGCAAAGGAGCTCTACGCTCTCCTCGAAAAAGACGCTCCCTGGAAATGGGACAAAAAGCACCGGGAAGCCTTTCAACAATTGAAAGAAGCCATTACCCAGGAAACGGTTTTAGCACAATATGACGAGAAGAAAGGCTTGGTGGTATCATGCGACGCGTCACCGTATGGCGTTGGAGCGGTTTTAGCGCAGCTAGACAAAGACGGAAACGAAGCTCCCATCATGTTTACCTCGAGAACCTTGGGAGAAGCGGAAAAGAACTATTCGCAATTGGATCGAGAAGGACTTGCGATTGTGTTTGCCATGCAACGTTTCCACCGATATCTTGCCGGACGTCACGTGACAGTAACCACCGACCATCAGCCTTTGCTTGGGATTATGGGTCCGAAAGCTCCAGTACCAGCTGGTCTGCCACCGCGCATGACACGATGGTGTGTGAAATTAGCTGCTTACGACTACGAACTCGTCTACAGAGCAGGAAAACACAACCAAAACGCAGACGCGTTGAGCAGACTGCCATTGAGAAAAAGTGAAGATGAACCGCGACCACCAGGGGACGTTTTTATGCTGGAAGCATTGACTAAGCCTCCCATGACAGTTAAAGACCTTGCAGACCAGACTGCTGTGGACCCTACGCTTTCTGAAGTTCTACAAGCAGTCAAGAGTGGAGAGGTCAAGAAGCTAGCTGGCGAGCGTTTCACAGCCTACAAGATGAAGTCCACGGAACTATCGATACACCGAGGTTGCCTAATCTGGGGATCGCGCATCGTAATTCCCACTTCTATGAGACCAGAGGCGTTAGCCTTGGTACATGCAGGGCACAGGGGAGTGGTCGCCATGAAGGCGTGCGCCCGAAGTTACCTCTGGTGGCCGGGGATCGACAAGCAGATTGAGTCCTGTGTGGCCCAGTGCGACACGTGTCAGCGACACCAGAAGGCGATACCCAAAGGAAGCAGCCCAACATGGGAAAGACCTTCGACTCCGTGGGGCACGCTTCATGTAGACCTTGCGAGACCGGTGGACGGAAAAGTGTTCCTGGTCATTGTGGATGCGTTCACTAAGTGGCTTGAATTATGTGCTATTTCGAGTATGACCTCAGCATCCGTTATCTGCGAGTTACGCAACGTTTTTGCGACTTTTGGTGTACAACGAAAAGTGGAATCGGATAATGGATCGGCTTTTGTTTCCAATGAGATGAAGACATTTTACCGCCTAAATGGAGTTTTGGCGGTCACAAGTGCGCCGTACCACCCCGCAACAAACGGTCAAGCGGAACGGATGGTGCAGCAGCTAAAGCAGGCACTTGCTAAAAGAGGAAGGGAGGAATTCAAGTGTTTTCTACCACGGTTCCTTTACAAGCAACATACCACAGTGCACACGGCGACAGGCAAGACACCAGCTTGGATGATGTTTGAACGAGAGTTGCCATCTCCACTTGAGAGACTGATACGCGTACCCAAGGACGAGGTACAAGCGACAACCGAAAATCCATGCCAGTTTGTGGTGGGACAATCCGTATGGGTTCTAAAGTTCCCAAGTGGACGAACTTGGATGTCGGGGGTCATTACAGAGCGCCTGGGTTCGCGGTCATGGATAATCCAGACAGAAGACGGACTAGTTCGACGGCACATGGACCACATACGACCAAGGCTATCAGCTGCACGTCGGTCGAGTGATACACCATCAGCAGCCTGGGGCTTGGACGTTCAGGCCGAAGAGGCACCAGCTGACGCGATAAGTGCAGAAGGCAACGAACTGTCCGAACCTGTGGCTATGCCCATCCGGGCAGGAACGCGGGAGCGAAGACCGCCCACAAGATACGGGATCACAGCCAAGTGAGGGGAAGATGTGATGTATCTGCTTATGCTATTGGGCAGGAGATTGAACTATAGGGGGCGCTCTGACCCGTTTGTTTTCCCCACGCTCGGTGTTTACTCAACACAAGGCCTGTGCACATGCCGACAGGCCTTATGGGCATGACCATGTCATCTTCTACAATGGAGCGCGGGGCACAGTTTAATGTAAAAAATACTAACAATCGACGAAGCGACGTTAAGTGCCGGATCTATCCTCAGAGAATGCGAGCTTGACCCACTTCGGCTTTTGTGCTGAGCTGGGATCGTGCATGCTGCATTGTTCATGCAGGCCGTAGTGGAAACAAAAGAGCCCCTCCTCCCCCTCGCCGGAGAGCACGAACTCCAGCCGAACGCTGACGCCGCGTTCGGTTATGTCGGCCGAGCGCTGCGTCATTGTATTTGTTGTCCCCATCCGTGTAGTTGTAAAGTTAACCGCTTGGGCCGTCACGGTCTGTCCTCCTCCCCAATAGCAGATGGCGGGACATCTTGGGAAGCGCGCGGTCCCCGCGTGCTGAGAGCGCGCGGTTTGAAAGAGCACGGGTCTCGGTCAGTCGGGAGCCATGATTAAAACGAACGAGTCGAGCGACTAACGGCTGCAGCTGGGTCTTACTCGCGATACATCACATATGTCCAAGAGTTTATTGATTTTAAAGTATCGACGTCTATTAAAGCCACTGTTTTTTCAAGTAGAGTAAGTTCAGCTAAGTTTAATTTAAGACAGCTAGTCATATCAATGGCAAAGGTACCCACGCCGAATCCAACTGGAGAAATATAATTGATGCAAGCGAGTTCTTAAAGAGCCCCTAAAAATAAATTTTTTTCTTCTTTAAACAGTATAGTCAGGACGAGCGTGTAAAAAAAAATAATTTTACGCGAAAACAACGACAACAAAAGTTAGAGCAATATTGACGGCGCGAGATGCGATTTAGTCGGTAGTCACCTCCTTTCCACTTGCTTTCTCTCTCGGCATTTCTGGTGCGTGGAGGAGAGGTGAATCGGCTTCGCCTTCACGTTGAAGTCTAAAGAGTTTTTAGACTTTTTAGACGCGGCACATTCCGAATGAACATTCCGCGCAGAATTTTAAATAAATTTCCCACCGTCATTATTGCTCAAATTTTTTTTCGCGTAAATTTTATTTTTTGTAAAAGCTTGGTCTGCTGGGCAAGTTGGTAATTGACATTCATATTAAAAATGGCGCAAAAAAGACGGGACGCAAAGGCGAAGGAGCCCACAGGACAAACGCTAACTGGCAACTGAAGATTATTGAACGCTTCCAACTTCGCTATCGCCGCGCGCGTACACGCGCGTAATCTCGTGTCAGCAAAAACACGGCGTACCGCCAAATGAGTAGATATAGCCAATTTTATTTTTTGACACGAGTGTCCCAACCAGACTGTTTAATTTTTTTTAGGGGCTCTTTAAGAGCTTAGTGTACTTTTATATCCGAATGTTTTTGTTTTGTTTTGAGTTTTGACCATATTAAACTCCCGATTTCCGAAAATTGGAAGTTTACTGAAAAATAAACTCCGAAAAATTACGAATGATGGGGCAACAAAAAATAAACTCCAAAAAACACTGAATTCTATGCATGGGGCACAAAGTTTTCTCATACATAAGACTAGTGGATTTCCCTATCAGGAACACATATGAGAGTCGACAGTTTTACCTCTCAGTGGCGTCCCTGACATCGAACTCGGAAAGCTGCGTTAGTGGTCAACGTTCTGTTCGTTTATAATCACTGACAAATGTACAACGGTAGGGAAGAGCTTCGGTTGTTCCGCCTCTAGCTTTCTACCTTCGATCATGCACGGTTCGGTTTCTCGTGCACTTCGAAGGCGCGCGTGCAGTCAAAGCACGACAAAAGGCATGGAACGCGTGCTGGAGGAGGCCGGGCGTTCGAGGGACACCTTCTGCCGTTCTCACTTTCTTGGTGACTATAGTAAACACATTTTTGTGATCAACAGACACGCGTCCCGCACTACTCTGCCGGCCAGACAGCTGCTCCAGTCCAGACTAACCAGCAATCAGAGCAGCACCGCTGACGCCATCTTCGCTTCCATGACAACCCGCAGCGTCTGCGCAGTCGGAGCCGTGTATCTCTTTGCGGAGCCAGCTCACCGGTGGCGCAAGGCTTTTCCGTTCAGCATGGGAGCTCGAGTTTCCACCAGGGCGTCGCTGCTGGCAGCGCTCTGCCCGATCGATGGTTGCTCGGGGCATGCGGCCAGGTTAGCGCGCGCGTCATCGGTCGCTGCAGCAACAACTCTCTCCCTCCCCAGCGGGAAGGAAATTTCGCGAGGCGAGAGCGTTGCTCGAACGTGTGCGTCTTAGCCCATCACAGCGCTCGAGCGTTGGATCCAGGCTCCAGCTGGTGCGTCCTCCGACTGCCGACCGCTTCCCACGCTTCTGATACCCCGAGTTCACCGCAAGGTGAGCCCTGCTACCGAGACGACCGGAAAGGCTTGTTTTGACTGAGACCGCATTGTCGAGGTCGTGGGAGCCATTGGGAGGTGTCGCAGGTCGGCTGATGCAGGGCGTGGGTAGTGGCACAAAAAGTAAAGGAAGGGGAGAGGAGAGCGGGGGGGATACTTCTCGTGTTTCTAATGCAGTTCAGCCGATGTCACGTACACGCTGTACGCATTTGCTTTGACTGCGAGATTGGTGTTTCACCTTTACGTTTTTTTTGTGAATTTTGAGACAGCTTTGACATTGCGTTTCTGACGATGTAGTGTTCTTTCTTAATGACACGAGATTCTCTCAAAAGCCGAAAAATTGCGGTACTTTTATTTGATGGTTTGGAGAGCGAGGGAGACACATGCCTTAAGAGAGAACAGCTGCACTCAAGTTAGAGTGTTCATTGACAGGTTTACGGCGCATATCTGAGTTCCTACTATTTCTTAGAAGAACCTCACATAATTTCCTTTCCCGCTGTGAACGGCGTATTATTTCGCTGCTCACATTTAAAATAAACACACGATTTACTTCTTTTTATCTTAAGCAACAATCCTTAATGTGTAATTCATTCTTAATGCTTTTCAACATTCTGTAGTATAAAAATTGTTGTTGAGATGTTACGCTGCACGGAACACTAAGCCATAGCTGTCTTTGGTCCCAGAACAATTGCGACTATTTCGACTTATTTTTGACGGTTGTCCTGATGCAACAAAAACGTGACCAGAGTTGGGGTAAGCAGCGGTATCATATCTGCAGTGCTCAAATTTAGCTCGTCAATTTTCTAAAATAAACACTTTAGCTTGTGTTCATACGCACCGATTTTTGCAGATAGAAGGAAATTGATGAGGTTAAAGTTTTTCTTTAGCCCTTGGCTACTATATTTTTATGTTGTAGGAGTAAAGCCTCGGTAGATCACACTCTGCATATTTATTTACAATATCTACGCTGTCCATTTGACAAGCTCATCGAGGGGCCTGTCGCCGAATCCTAGAGCTCGTGCAGCTCGTGGTCCAGGCACCTCGTGTCCTTAGCTCGTGACTGCCCCGCGAGCTTGGCGCCGTTCAAGCGCCGATCACTGCCGCTAGCTGCCCCCAGCTGCCGCTACAATGTCAACAAAAATGCATGCGTATGTCACGTAACGAGCTTCATTGAAAAGGTTTTCGCTAAGCTAGAAAAAACAAAATTATATAATGGCAGTTGTTCTTTTGAAAAGGTTGGGTTCTCTGGGGCCGTGACAGAGAAAGCGTTGCTGGGGGCTTATAACTTAAGAGGTAACAAAAAACAAAAGAAAAGCCAGACATTATTTAGTTGCATATTACTAGAGGCCCCTAATAAGCTTACACCATGTTATGATGTTTACCAGAAATGTATGGTTCTTAACAGAGGCCAAGCCACCCTGCTTTGTTCCTATTGATATTTTGTTCGTGGTTCCTGAAGGGATCAGTAATAAATCATAACGTTCTTCATCCTAACAAGTAAATCGTTAGATAGGCACCGACCTAAATGTTGATTACAAGGTTTCTTATTTTTACAACTCTTAGTTTTAAAGGGCTTTATAATTGCGGCTTTATATCTGAAATATATACCAAACACATGTGCTGAATGAGGATAATTGAAACACCTCGAGTTAAATATATGCCCTTAGAAACGGGTATCTTCTTGTCCCAAAAAACTTTAAGCAAAAGCACCGCCAGGAAAATAAAAACCTGAATTGTAGGACGCCAAGGGTTTTAAAAATCTGCATTCAAGAATACAATCTCCCTTTTTTTTATTTATAGCGTCATTTAGTGTTGTTCACAGAAAGTTAATTTACTTATTTTTATACTAAATTATTTACTTCTTGTGTGAAACCACATATATGCATATAGGTTTATTATCTTACGAATAGAAGTTTTGAACAAGAAAACAATATATCTTGTAAACTTCTTCATGGGCGCTGGTACTGCAATTTTACGCTTTAACTGTTAAAGTACATTACATTAGTTTTATAAGTTTCATTACAAAAACTACGCAAAAATAAGATTTATTTGGGACTAAAAATTTAACCAACCTTTTAAAACGTTGGCGTAAAACATATATTTACGAGAACAAATATGTTTTTGTTTAAAACGATATATATATATATATATATATATATATATATATATTTATAATGGCCAGGTTTGTTTTCTACCGTCCCCTTGCATCTATCTATCTATCTATATATATATATATATATATATATATATATATATATATATATATTGCATCCTTAAACATTTTAAAATATTCATAGAAACAAGTAGTGTTATACATTTCGCTGAAAAGTATGGGCGCTATAAGGATTTACAGCATGGCTCAGTTGGGATTTTAATATTTATTGAAGGAATCAAACACTTAAATGGTAATATTGACAGCAGTAGGTCGTGCTATATGCTGGAAAAATTGGCGCGACCATGTACCTACAAAATGTTTTCTAGTAAATACAGTCTTAAAAAACAACGCATACTTATTTTTAAGATCTACGTAAAATGGCCAGGACAACGTGAAATTTTGTCTACTCTCCTTGCGAGAAAAGTAATGTGGCGTATAAACTCTTTGGAGCGTCACTAACGGCGCACCACACTCTGGCATGCCGTTGCTGCCTCGGGGCCAAAGAGAACAGGCAGTTGGACTATGCTTCCGCCTCTCTCAAAATGTAAATGAGTTCGAACGGACGCGTTCCGCGATTTTGCATAAACCAGGTGTCCCAATTTATTTTTTTTCCCCACAACTTTCGGTATGACAGGAATGACGCGTTCGAGCCGTGATCATTTGTCTTTCAAGAAAGATTTTAACATGTACTGTTTTTGGTTCTTTTGTGTAGGAACGCGTGTAAGCAAGGTTCTCGGCGGCGTTCTCTCGAGTTCATAGTAATAAGATATCGGCTTTTACTATTTGCATTGGTCACCAACTAGGTTATGTGAATGGATGGGATTTTCAAGCACAATGTAAAAGGCGTGCATTGATTGCCTATTCTGAGTCAGCGAAGTGCACTCGGGTGATTAAAAAAATAAAGAAAAATAATTAAAGATGAGGGGAGAAACAACATTACCCCACTAACAGATACAATGACATTAGACGCAAAGATTAACTGTAGAGCGTCTAGAAAACGTTGACTTGGCACAGAAGGACTAAGATAAAATCGCGATATTGGACGACGATATATCTTTCAACACGCACCAGGATAAATGGCATTAGTGTTGTTGCGAGTTGAAAGATACGTTCGTCGTCTTTGTCCAGAGTTTGTTTTATTTTTATGCGTCATGTTTTTGGTTACAGATATTTGCGCAACCTCAACTGAAAAGTACGTTGTTTGCTGAGAACGACTCTCCAATTCAGGGGAGGCACAGCCGCTTTTGAATTCGAAGAAGCGTTTAAATGTGGGCGGCTTAAAAACAACACGAGTAAAACGTTCCTGGATTTTACTATAGTCACTACACTTACAACTGAACAAATGCAGTGTGTGGCGAGTCTCTGACATCTCATCATAGCTTCCCAAACATTGAGATTTCGGCAGTAGATCTTAAGAACATCAAAGAACAAATGAGGTAGCAAGAAGCGCGAGCACAATATGCCCCGCCCGATGTAATTGCAAATTACATTTCGTCGCAGTTCCGCCCCACGCTGCCCGCAATGCGCAAGAGAGGAAGGGAGGAACGAGGAACATTTACGAATGTGACGCCATCTGCGGAGTCAGGTGATCCATGCTCACCCTTAAGATACGACTCTCTCTTAAGATACGACTCACCCTTTAAGATTCGACAAAACGTGCAGCAATTGCTGCGGGAAAAAAAAAAAAAAAAAAACGGTTTACGCTACATTTTGCTAAAAAGGGCGATGCAGCAATTTTTGTACTTTGCGCAAATACCACCTAGAACGGATCCCTGACGTTAATGACAAACACGCGTTCATTGTTCACCCCGCGCAATAGAAGACCCGAAAAAACAAATTAAAGAACAACGAGCAGCGTTCACTCCCTCAACTCGCAGCCAGAACAAGCGGCCACGTGATCTGGAGCCGATTACATGCCGCCAATGTTGATCATAGCCACGCGCTGGGGTTGGCAAAGCACAGGACACGCGCTGAGTTTCAGACATCGTTACGGCTCGGCTATTGTCGTCGTTGCAGCGATTGGACACGGGCCACTCCCGAATGCTTCTCGAGCTAGTAATTATCACGAGCCCAAATCGAGTGCCCACGCAATGTTCGGGTCTCATCTATGAACCGCATTCAAATATCGTCATTAGTGTGTACTGCGATCCCCACGTTACGTCATCAATTTTTGCACAAGAGAGATTGAACGAAAATGATAGTTTTTGTCTTTGAAATTACAGCGCAACAAAGGAGTTTCTTGGCCAGTGGCGTTGTTCTTGTTGTTGCAGAAAACATCTTTATTCCACAAAGGCAAGAGAAGGGGGGAGGGGGTTAGGGGTAAAAAGAGGTAGAGAAGAAGTAGGAGTTAGCTGTATAACCCTATTCCAGGACTCCACCTGCTTGCGCCGCCTTGGTCCGCCGGATTAGCAGCTGTTGCTTAACCGGGTCTTCGCTCGCGAGCGCCGCATGCCACTCCTCTTCGCTTGCTTCACATTGTGAAGTTTCTTCATTCTTCTCGCAGGCCCACACCATGTGGTATGTGTCTGCCTTTTGTCACCCGCTTCACGGGTACACTACCGACGCGTATCTGTCCGGGTGCCAGGTTGTTGTTGTTGTTTGCGGGTTTTATGGCGCAAGAGCTCCGATGGCCATACTGCGCCAAACTAGGTAAGCTAAAATACATTGTTAAAAGTACACTAAGACTAGACTAGAAGCTGGCTATAGTTTGTGTAAAATATCTGTAGTTTTGAGAAAAGCTAAAAGACGTTCAAATGATATGAGAGGCTGTTCCCCTAGAACCAAGACAGGGTGAAACGGGATGTTGTATTTAAAAAATTCAGGAAAAAAGGTCTTGTATTGTT